CAAAACAAACTCAAAAAACCCCCAAATAAAACAACCAACAAAAAAAAAACAACCCTACAACACTTTTGCTAGATATAAATATTATAAAGAATAGAGGGAGAACAGGTTAGGGACGCATCAAGAAAGTGTCAGCTCTATTTTTTTCTACATCATTACCACTCTGCATCACACACTATCTGCTTTCAGAATGTATCTCCCAAAGCTCAGGGACACATGCTGGTATTAATTGTTGCCAGCACCAGCCCAGGCCACACCAGTCAAAAGTACTTCTTCATCTCAGACCTTCTGTTTTGCTGAGTTCAGCACTTCTAAAATGTTTTCAAATTAAAACCACCACAGGTAGGAAGTTCTCTTGTTAGGCCCATTTTCCATGTGTTCCTAATACAATCTACCTCAAAGAAATCAGCACAGAGTCAGCTATATCTCCTGAGGAATGTCCACCAGGAATTCAGGCAGGAATATGAGGTGTCTGAGGCAATGGCTTTCAGCTTTGGAATACCTGAAGGCTGCTTCAGTGCACAATATCAGATTTACAAAACCTCACCAGTAGGAAAGCAACATCTTTGAGTTTTTAAGCTGGTTGTACATGTAAGACAACAGCACTATAGAAGTTCATGATCTATCTATAGTCTACAACAACTCTTTGAACTATTATATAATTAAAATATTTTACTCTTCACACCTAATGCACATCAACTCCAGCTGCAAGAAACCTGCAGCTCTGAGAAGTAGACAAGAGAAAGAGACAAGTCCATAGACAACAGGCCAAGAAGTGGGTGCCCAAAGGACCAGGCAGGACTAGACCCTCTGCCATGCCAGGAGGGCTGGATGCTGATGGAGGAGCCTGGAGCAGAACAGGACTGAGCTTGCTGGTTCATCCCCAGCAGCATCTCCATTCTCACCACAGCTGCTGAAAAGAGACCACTGGGCTAAATGGGCTCCTGCTCTGACTTAGTAGGGCCAAATCTTCTTGAAACACCACAAAAAATATTATTTAGGGAATGCTTACAGAAAGGTGTGTGCAATCCCCTGGAGCTGCCTCCCTGCCCAGGATAGGTCTGTTTATTCTGGCACCCAGTTCCCAGCACCCACCCAGCTCCTGGACAGGATGCACAGAACAATCCACCTCCCGCTTTCCACATTTATCCATTTCAAGTGTTTTAGCTTTGACTACCTCAGGTTCTCCAAACTTCAGTGAGGAATAAAAAAACTAAATAAATGTTTCACCTGATTTGAAGAAAACAAGGTATTTTATTAGGAAGCAGGGGAAAGCACTGTAAGAATGCTCAAAACAGCTCATGTTCCCACAGCACTTACAACCACACAAAACTTCTCAAAGTACCAGATCACTACAAGAAATGAACCACTGACTGCATGAGAAGGAAGTGACTCAGACTCAAATGCATAAAGGACAGCATGAATGGGACAGGATTTCCGCTTACAGATCCTTTTACATGGCAAGGGCCCTTTATTATTAAAAAAAAAAAGCCACACAACCAAAAACCCAACCTTGATCCCTCCTCTCCCATTCAGCTTTTAAAACAGCTCTGCAGAAAGCCTACAGTATGGATTTTAGATCAGAATCCCTGAAACATACCTCCAAGTCTTCTGTTTGTATAACACAGCATCCATCCATCCTACCACAGCAATAACTGCTAACCTGGCAATTACAAGCCATCATTTTCTTTTTTTTTCCCTTAAAATATCTATTTCAATTATAACACAAGTGAACCTCCCAACATAAAGGCACAATGCTGTCAATGGCAAAGGCCAGAGGAAATGCACTTTAAATTACTGAAACTGTCATTTCCCTACTAAAAAGAGGTCCTGACTCTGTGCTACACAGCCAGCCTGAGATAAGAGTGCATAACAGAAGCACCAACCTATTTTTAATGTACCAATCATGCTGTACAGAGTGGCAAGGAAGAGCACATGCTGGATTCACAATTGAAGAGGTGGCTGAACCATAAGTAATCCAAAGTCATTCATTTACTTTGTTTTAGTACTATATGATGCTATATAATCTCATTTCATTCCCCAGAGCTGAATCTGCTTTTTGGAAAACCACTGGTTCTGTTAATATTGGCAGGAGGCCGTAAGTTACTGACACATGGCAGAATTTTCCTTGAGCACCTACTCCAACATCCTGGGCATGATACATGCAATTAGTGTATCTTTTGATGGAAAAGTACATTGTTAACTTCAGAATCTCAAGTCCTGTGATTTATGCCATACCTTTTCAGGAATAAAAGCCAACACAACAAACCCAGAGTTGTCCTTGCATTGTACACTGAGCATTTTCTTCAGTATTTCTCTGTAACAGCCTCAGTGCAGCTGGAGCACAGATTGCTTGGAGATGCTCAGTATGGAGCAACACAGGCCTCAAATAAATTGCTACAGAGAAACAAGGAAGAGGACAACATTTCCCTGTCACAGATGCCACTGTGAAGATCTTATTCCTCTGCTGATTAAGCAGGCCCTCAAAGAGTCAGCTCAGACCACCAGCATGGGTCTCAGCTCAGACCCACCCAGCACTGGGCAAGACACCATCTGCCAGCTCCTCCCCACGCTCCCAGCACAAAGCAGCTTCCAAGGCCCAGTCCCTAAGGAAAGCCATCCCATGTCAAGCTGTAGCACTGTCCACTGATGAACGCTGCTCCTGCAGCAACCAAAATCTGGGATGTGTGTGTCTGCTCCAGTGTGTCCCGGGCTCCTAAAGCCCCGCTCCTTGGCAGGGAGCACAACGGCTCCGGTGGCGGCAGCTGGCCAGGAGCTGGCTCACGGGAGTCCTCCCACAGCCAAACACCCCAAGGAAGCAGGCCAGCTCCCACAGCACACAGACACACCACCAGGTATTAAATGATACACTACAAACCTCATCACAATCTTGATTAAGAAATTGCACGCGGCTCCAGATCTCTACTCTAAATTCACACATTCCTACTTGCCTCTTAGGAGCTCTATGGCTAAGTGGATTTCTAAATAAAGATTCTTATTTTCTACATACTATATATATATACACACATTATAGTTTTTCCAGGCTACTCTGCAAGTTTGATGGTGCTGTGTGGCTGCTTCCAAATTTTTAACTATTAGCAGGCTTGAATCAATACACATCCACAAAAAAGCTCAAGTTCAAACAGCTTTGCTGCTTGTTGCTTCCAAAACTACCTTCTTCTTGGCTATCATAAACACACAGTCATCTCAGCAGCATGAATCAGAATTATCAGCTGTTCCCAGACTGCTTTTAACTCTCACCTCAATTACCTGTATGGCCATGCTTTTCAGGTACCAATCAATAAATTCCCAAATAATTAAACAACACAGAAGGTAAACACAAAGCAGCAGGTACAATTAAAAGCTTATAAATATCAAGTGGAAGCTTATTTTGGGGCTGTGTTGGTGAATGGGATTTATCAGGAGAGTGGGACAACTGATGCTGACTTGTATGGTCTTCTGTAAATGGACTTTTTCCCCATTTGGGGGAAGCCTCCATCATTTGCTGTTCCCAGTTTTAGGCCCTCTCTGGCTGACAGACTGGTCAGGCCATTGCTCTGACTCCACTGATTTTCTAAGCATTTTATGACCGCCCATGCTCTCTGCTGGAGTACAGCAGACTACTCCAAGAGACAAAATTAATCAAATAAAAGGATTACAAGAAACCCTTACATTTTAAAATTCAATCTAGATTATTTTAAAAGTGATCACCCAGGCTGAGTACCCACTAAAGTTATGTTGCAGGGTAGCAGTTTAGACTATACTTTATTCCAGGTCTTTCATGCACATGCTTCCCCATGCCTCATGTATTCCACCACAGGCTAGAGCAAAAAGAAACAAACATAAATAAGAATAGTAAAAGCAACATAAGCTGATAGACAAGAAATAATTAGGAAGACAAATGCAGAGAGTAATTTTCTTAGATTAAAGCATTCCCAAATACAGTTCCTTGCTAATTCTAAGGATCCCGAAGCATGGCTGTAAATCCTCACTCCTTACCATGCCAGGAATACTTTTTCCTTCTTCAGCTATTGTTTAAGTCACTTTTCACAAGTATTTACTTCAGTTAGGTCTCACAAGTACACAGCCAAACAAGTATACACTATATATATAGGAAAAAAACTATGTTGTATGCATAAATTCACACAAGAGATTCCAAAACACACTACATAACAGATATCCCAAACACACTGGGTCTAAGCTTCCTTACTACCTAAAAGTTTGTTCAGCCAGCCTGCAAAGAGACAGAGAAGAGAAAGGCTGAAAGGTGTAATGGATTATAACAAGTTGCTGAGTTATTTTGAGGTACAAGTGGCTATGCACATCATGGCTTGGGATAAATGAGATTTGACTAGATGACTGGCCTAATCTTTTATTGCGAAGTTTCAATTTTTTGAATGAGAAGCCTCTGAGAATGTTGGAAGAAACCTATTTCAAAAGTAGCCAGATGTATTTGACCACTAATTCCAAAGACTAAGCTTAAGCAATTCCTTCTCAAATTTCTTCTGTTTCAACTAATCACACTTCCATTGAACCTTTACATAAACAAACTTATTTTTTCAGCAATCATTCCTAAATTCACTAGGAAGTTTACTACATTTACCTAGGAGATGCAAAGCAGTGATACCCAGTACTCACGTTTTGGTTACAGCTCAATTGTCTGTAAGGATTTTTTTTTTAAGTGCCAAGATGCCTGTATGAAAAGCCAAATAAAACCAAGGACTTGCCCAGAAAAAGCATTTCTCTTTCCGGCAGATAAAAAGAGAATGATGCTGCATCTACCAGGGAACAGTCTTGAAATATGGGGAGGCAACCAGTTCGTCTTACAAAACAAATACAGCACAGCAAGCTCAACCCTTGGATTTAAGTTCCCACCGTATTAACGCTGCCTTTATGCGTGGCTGGTAACATTTTTTGGCGTAGTTACTAAACCCATACACAGGCAGTCGTAAGCCAGAAAGGTGCAATAAAAAGGAATTAAAATTAAATAAAACTGTCTTTACCATGTGAGTCTTGTTCACTGGCCTTTGGGCTGCTCCTCGCTCTGCGCTCCGGTTTCTTCATGGCCGGGGCGGCGCCGCCGCCTCCGCTGCTCGCCCCGTTGTGGCTCTTTGCATAACCATTATATACAGTTGTGCAGCTGCCTAGATGGCTTTTGTAGATGGATGAAGGAGGACTATTCAGCCGGTTCTGGCGATCAATCTGCCTGTCTTTGAGTTTTTTGTGCTGTGGTTTGCTGTACTGATCTTCCCTGGTAATATAGCTGGACATCCCATATAGTGGTATGATCTCTGAAACAAGAGTTCATCCATGTTAGAACAGCAAAATCACTGGATTACATAAAGTTACTGCTAAATTCTAGAGGCTCACTTCCACACATCTGGTAAAGAAGGTGAAACCTACTTCAAGGCATTGCAAAAGCAAAGTTCTTGAAAAGCTTTAAAGAAATAGGATATAAAAGTGCTGATAAAAAGCCTCTAAGTAACCATATTCTAGGATTTCAAGTAACCACCTCCAAGTCCTACAATAATAGGCCAGATTGGATGGGGCTTTGAGCAACCTGGTCTAGTGGGAGGTGTCCCTGCCCATGCAGGGGGGTTGGATCTAGACGATCTTCAAGGTCCCTTCCAACCTAAACCATCCTACCATTCTATGAATGTATTCCAAAAACCATATTCCTGACCATCAATAAATGAAACAATGACAGATTTTCCAGGATATGTGTTTTACAATAAACCAAGTTTGGTATTTTTCCTTAAAAAAAAATTTCTGCAGGACTGATCCAAATTTTTGTATTATATTTAATGTGCTCATTTGCTGTTTGAGATTTTATAACTCGTCAGATGAACACATATGAACAAGCAACAGACAGTAATTAGGGTGACAGGTTTTCCCCTCCTCTTCAGTCTTCTGTGCTTTAGGGATACAGTTTTAAAAGGAAGAATCCAGGGAGAGTGATATTTAGGAAAAAGCCTTCCTAAGTTCACAGCAATTTAGCAGTTTCTTCCCCAGGGCCTGACTGGACAGACTAAGCTGAGTCACCCTGGTTTCAAACTGCCATCACTGCCTACATGCAATTTAATTTCCCAGTATAAACAGACTTAACAATTGTGTCAACTGTGCCTGCCTAAGGAGACAAGTGCAGCATGAAGTGGAAGCTTTAGGAATGTAAAACTGTCTTTAAAAAGCTTGAGAAATATCATAAATACTACATGCATATTTCACATACGCCTCACTAAATACAATCCTCTCTGCCCCTCCTTGTACTTCAATCCTCCTTTTTGAGCTCCACTTTTGGGCCTGAAGTTTTAACAAATTAATGCATCATATTAAAGATACTATTATTTTTTTCCTACATCCATAAGCATTACAGTTTTCCAAGTTTTTTCAACTAGCCAGATTCTCTCTCTGCCATTTCAGTGTGTATTGGCCTTCATACCTCCTTATCTAGCTAGACATTTGCATCCTTACAGCAACTAACTGCCAAAAACCGGAATGCTACAAATAAATGCTTTTTAAATTAAAATTAGAAGCCATCGCATAGCAAATGGAAAATGGTGGATTAATGCTCATCACTACAATATTCACCACTTCAATTATTTCAGTGTTACAGGTCCAGGTCATTCCAGTGTAGAAATCAAGGATTTTTAAAACGTATTATAAGTTCAACTTAAACGTATGTCTTGCTATCTCCATGCTACAGAAATATTGAACATATACTGACCTAGGAGCTTTACGTTCACTTTGCACACAAGACTTTGTAAAGTAATCTGACAAACTGTCCTGCTCCCTTTCCAAAATCCCTCCCCTATGCATCTGGCCAGTTACATGGTCCTGCTGGTTTCCTGAGCTTCCCAGTTTCTCCCTCACAGCATAATGAAGTTAGATGTCAGATGCAAGGGTCAGGTCCTCACTAGAAAATTAAGTCTGTTGGTCTGCAGAAACTTCAGTAGATAGCCTCCCACCTCTCCTTCTACCTCACTTCTGGTGATAGGGCTTAAACATATTCTTCACAAAGGGTTTTAACTCCAGGTAGTTCAGCAGCAATGTAAAACATGAAGCCCAAGCTGATTTCCATGTATAACAGGCCAAGTAGCTTTGCCAATGACTTTTTTGGTCAACGCCCTCTGCCAGATTACACAAAGACTTATCTCCAGGGTGGCAAGGACACCGCAGCGCACAGTGCAGACACAAATACGCCCCTTTCACTCCTTTTCTGCAATTCTTTACTCATGGCCTGATTAGGGTTGCCATGCTACCCTGTGGTATCAGGCAATGCTTTTCAGTGACTTACTGCACAGTCTCAACCAGAATAACAAACAAAAAGTGCCTGTTATTTCTTGGAAAACCACAGCTGGGGGGCAGAAAGCACATTATGGCCAACAGGAAGCGGTATGTGGCTATTCCCACTGGAAACAACCACAGCAAGCTGAGCTCAGATGCAGCCCTTTGTATCCATCCTCCTTCCCAAGTCAGGACTGACACATTTTGTCCCTTGGTTTTCTGTACAACACTGCACCATGACCCAGCAAGAGCAACCAGCATGACTCTCACATCCTAGTTTGGAGCATAGGACATTTTTTCCCCACTGTATTTACAAATGAAGTTAAAATTGGTTTCATTTCTGCAACCTAGTGTTGCATCCCAGGATTGTACTGCATTACTGCACTCTGGATGGCTACACCCCCTAACAAATTCCTGCTCTGGATATTAAAGAAGGAGGCTCCAACCATTCTGGCAAAGCCACTCTGCGAGTTCTCCAACTGATGTTCACTCTGGGTTTCACTAGTCCTTAAAACTCACAGAACACAGGTGTGAAATACCAGCACCTTCCTTTCAGCTTACCTTGTTCTCCATATATTGTAGGGGGAAGATGATGCTGTGGGAAAAACTGTGGTGGTATGTCCCCAGGTCCAGTGACAGGAGGATAAAAAGCTGTATGCGAGTTGTGAATAAAATGGGGATGGTGCGTCAGGTATGGAGGTAAGTGATGGGTTGGAGAGATGGCTGAAGGGTAACTAGGAGGGTAACACTCTGGAGACTGGGGGGTAACCACCACCCTCCGAACGCCGGTGTTGTCTTCTATCACCTGGAAGGGAAGGCAGGGAAATAAACACATTATGCAGCATCTGAACCAAACACCCTTTTAAACAGTATTGTTTACGGTTTGGTGGGTCCTTAAGTGTACTCATAAACACATTTCTAAAATTAATTCCAGCACAAGTAATCATAGTGGTGATGTGGCTTTTCTTGGAGCCTTAGAGAGCCACACTAATCACCGGGAGACTTACTGCTGCTCCTGATAACTATGTGGGTAAGAGATGGAATAAATAACCTGTATTTAGGGAGTAAAACAATTGAAAGAGGAACACAAAGCACCAAAATAAGATTAGTCATTGGGACCAACCTTACTTTCTCCACATAGAATTTCTACCACTGATCTTGACAGCATGGAGTAACTAGTTAGCAACCTTGGGAATCAGCTGGCACTGCTGTTGCAGAGGGGCTGTGTGTGCAGAGAGACACGTACTTTGCAGGAACCTGGGCTGTTGACACCCCTTTTCAAAAGTTTACAAAAGTTATCTGTTCAAGACATATCATAGGGCAGAAGGGGGTTTTCTTCCTGCTACAGAGCTGCTCTATACATCCACGGAAATCAGCTCTGTAATATGCATAACTTGGCCCCAAATGTCAGAGCATGTAAAAACAGACGTAGGAAGGTGGAAATGTGCTTAGGCTGAAGAAAAGTTTTTCAGCTTATAATTTTTCCAGAGCTGTATTTCTGGAGAACAGTCAACCAGCCAAATTTCAGTCCAGACTTCAGAGCCAAGCTTTTCTTGAAACTTATTAAAAAAAAAACCCACCTTCTGCCATTTCTGGAACTTAAAAATACAACCACGTAAGAACAATTACTATCCCTTTGATTTTGTAAAAAAAAGAAAAAAGGAAAGCACGAAGGAAACACAATTCAGCTTCATACAACAAACAGGCTGTTAAAACCCTAACGTTTTCTAAACTGACTGATGATACAGAGATGGTACAATGCATGCAATGAATGTGTTGTATGAGGTAAATGAACATGCACTAAGGGCACCTGCCGTAAGATGCTGCCTCTCCCAGCTGGTTGCCACCAACATTAACTGGAGTCATTTATCCCCAAAAGCAGCATCAGCAGAGCAGACCCTGCCACAGATCCCCACGCTCTAGTGACTCTCCTCATGTCAGGGTGTCAGTCTAAAGCACAAAAAACACATTTACTCACTTGTCATGGATGTGTTACATTAAAAAAACCAGCCACAACCAACACTGCTTGCTATGCTGAATAACCAGAACAGGAATTGTTGAACTCAATGTACTCACTCACAACCTCTACAGTCACAACCTCAGCTAGCACTTTGTCATCTGCTAGCTTTGAATTTCAAAGACTTTAAAGAGTCCTCAACAGATGGCTGAACCTCAGAGATTGAGCCTATCACATCAGTGTAACTGCTGCATTTTCAGGCCAGTCATGTCTGCTACTGGTTCTACTTAACTTCCACAGCATCTCTTGCCATGGCAACAGATCTCAAACCTGCACTAAGAAACCTGGAAAGCAGGAAAATGTTTTTCCATCTAGCACATATTTGAAAAACCAAAGCATTTATTCAGACTGTATGCAAAAGTGCTGGACTTCACTCTCTGAGACTCAGATCATGCAGTAATTTAACTGAGACAGCAAGTTCCTACCTCCTGATGTGAAAAGTCTTCATCATGGCTTTAAATAGTCCAAGCCTCAAAGATGTTAGTCTTGCAGGTGGGTACAAGGTCTTATCAGTGCACCTAGATCAGACTAGATCTGTATTTGGTGCCCTACTGAAAGATGAGCATGTTAAGGAATAGATTTAGACAGAAAGCTTGTACCCTGCAGCAGCACATAATGTAAAGCATATTTTAAGTTATTAGGATTTCTTTTCCTGAGCTATATTCTAGAGAGCGGGGAGAAAAGCTAAGTCCCTTCACAGACCTTCTGATGAAATTATCTTGCTAGATGAGACTATAGCAGCAGCAGTGAGACAAAAGCCAGAGACTGGGGGATGAGCCAGCCCTCCAAATGACTTTTGTCAAAAAGCTGAGAGACTAATATTAATATCTTTTATTGTTTCCCTCCAGGCCACAAATGCTGACAACATTCTTGTTCCTTCACATGCACATGTTCCAAATGAACACTGAAACACAAGGGACCTTGCAACAAATACTTTCTTTCCC